TATTATAAATACTGTTTTGAATTAAACTCTTGTAGCAATTATAACGACATTTCTACTATAAAAGACAAAATATTCACGAAGATGATCCAACATGCATTATTTTTAAATTTATGCCGTTCCAATACGAATAGTTAATCAAAGTAAACCCTCCGATCGTGAGTATTCTTAACTTATTTTCTATTGTATTGGAAGACATTTAGGTATATAGGAAGTGTATAAAATTGTGTAGTGAATGACCGACTTGTACCAGTCGCGATCACACAACACAACTGTTCGGTGAACAATAAGTATTCGCTGTAGTTCATGTATTTTAACGTAAAAATAAATCACGAATTCAATGTAACCATAACATGAATAATATAAATAGAAATTATTATATTTTTAAACTGATAGCCCCTACCGTTGCTGTCGTAACGCAATGAAAACTCGTTTAAAAATATACTGGGGTATTATTTCTTTGTTGCGTAACACCATGGCATAACCCCCGTAACAATTGCAAGCTTCCACTAAAATAACATCGAAGTGATAGAAAAAGCGTATATTTATTACAGCTGCAAATCCTTTTACAGTTCGTATATCACTTCCAATTTTGAAAACATTTTATGTGTATAGTGTATGACGTGTATAGTGTCTTCAAAGTGGTCTAAAACACATCAGAAGATCCCCGAAATTAGAATAATTATTGCTTTCTTTGTAATAATCGAATAATATGCATTTAATATACATTATTTAACACTAAATTATCTTCTCACTTGTAGCAAAGAAGGATTTGTGAAAGATGAAAACCTTTGGATTCCTTTTAGTTCTTCTTCTCTTCAGTGTGATGATTGGTAAGTATTCAGTTATCTCGTTTAACGAAGCACTTGTAAAATATTGTTCATACAAAATGCATATATTATACCATTTAATTGAAATTTTGTAACGATTACTTCAGCAACTTTCTCGATGGTGGAAGCATATGGATGTGAAGGCTGCAAAGGTAAATGCAGTTCACGTGGGAAATGCATAAATGGTAGATGCAAATGCTACGGTCGAAGCGATTTCTTCCAGGACTACGAAGAATAAAGATCGAATGTACGGAATTTTGAAAATTAAAATATGTTTAATTGCATATTCAAAGCTTACCTTTTTATTACGATTTAATTCATAAATTCATAAAGTTAAAGTTTTGAATTAAAGCACTTGGTCTACGGTCTACCTGAGTTGTATATAAATACCAGAATTTTTTTGTAGAATTCTACTTCTTAAATTCTGAAAATTAAATTAAAATTTAAAGTAATTTACACAATAATATAGTTTTGATGTAAATAAAAGTTTAGACCCTGTCCATCTTCGACCGTGTATTTATTAAGTAATGGTCGGAAACGTAATGTCTATTCGATGATAAAAAAAATTGTGTTTAAATTTTCTTCGTTTATTTGATTTTTTAATAAAGAAAAAGGACATATTAACGAAATAAAGTGGTTCCGTGTACACCAATTTATATTTAATCGCGATTCTTTTAATTATATGAAACTTACTTCGTAAAAAGAGAGTTTCTGCCAATAAAAAAATTCTTTAATTTCATATTTGTTTTGAATGGAGTTAAAATCGACAACTCTTGTTGTTAATCAGAGCTATTGAAGAGAAAATCAACCAACTTCTCTCAATGACTTTACAATTGTTCAAGACTTTCAAATAATGCGAGGGCGAAAATTTACGCTTTTCTTTATTGTTACTTCAACGCGTATAAATTTGGTAACAACAGAGCAATAAATAACGAATACAAAAGTAGGCAAATGCAAATATTTCCTAAGCAACTCTCTCCATTACACACAGAACGCAAAAGTATCTCAACATTACCTAAATAACTCTCTATCTATTAAACACAGGCACACGTCCTGTGTTTAATAGATAGAGAGAAACCTGAAACACTCCGAGCCTATGCAAATGTACAAATGCTAATTTTTAATTCGAGTTCATATTGTCACGACAATCATTTTCAGTGATAATAAGTAACTACAATTGCTGTAAAAAAACAATAATTCTCTTAGACAATCTACTTTTTAAATTGTTAAAAGGTGGGCCAATAGACAAATGTTTATATTTTTACTAAAGAAATTGGAACACTTATGAAATAAATAATAAAAAAAAATTTTACCAATTAAAACGAGTTTCTTGTATGAAATTTTAAATATATAAAAGTGTTTTAATTCATAATTATCATCACATTCAAGACAAAAAGAACCAAAAGGAATCCAAAATTCTTCATTATTCAAAAATTTCTCCTTCTTACATATTGGAGAATATAATGTTAAATTATATATATTAAATGCACGGTTCTCGAAATTTTTAATTCACGAGATATTGTTTGGACTTTAACGTGTAAACAATAATTACTTTAATTTCGGAGAGATCTTTTGATGTGTTTCTAGACAACATTGAAGGCACGTTACACCTCACTCTCATCTAACTGTAGTCATTGGGTTTTGTACGCTGTGTTCTTTTTCTGAAATTACCTAGGTAATGTGCACAGTATCTAGGTAATCTGCAAATTACCTACTAAGCACTCGGTAAAGTGAAAATAAGATCTTTGCTGGAACAACAGCAACGTTTCTGTACACTTNTAAATATATCATTTATGTCATTTAGTGACCATATCTGTCATTTATGACATTTAGTAACTATATGTGTCATATATGTTATTTAGTCACAATATGTGTCATGTCATTTAGTCATTTATGTAATTTGTGACCATATGTGTCATGTTATTTAGTCACCATATGTTTTATTTATGTCATTTAGTTAACATATGTGTTATTTATGTCATTAAGTCACCATATGTGTCATTAATGTCATTTAGTTACTATATGTGTCATTTATTTACAATTTGTGTCATGTCATTAAGTCATTTATGTAATTTGTGAAAATATGTGTTATTTATGTCATTTTGTGACCATATGTGTCATTTATGACATTTAGTTATTATATGTGTCATATATGTCATTTATTTACAATATGTGTCATGTCATTTAGTCATTTATGTAATTCTGGCCATATGTGTCATTTATGTCATTTTGTGATTATATGTGTCATTTATGTCATTTAGTGACTATATGTGTCACTAAAATTTTGTGTCACCAAAATATGGTTAAATTTTTAGCGGAAAATATTTTTTAATTTTGGTGCGAAATCTATGGTTTTCTATACGAGGGAAACTGATAAAAAGTAACTTTGTGCAACGGAAATTTAAACATTTTTTTTTTTTTGTTTTATTGTCATCTAGTACAAATCTCATCACCCTGGGAATTGTCAATATCTCGGTAAATCTTCTTGTTTTCTGTTTACGTGGGGACAACATGAAAAGCCAATTGGAGATAAATCGTGAGAAATAGAAAGAATTTTTTATGATTTGAGGAGTACGCCACGAAATTTTACAGAAGGAAGACGTATTCCATATTATCTTTCGAAGGTTATCGCCCATAGTCGTATTCAGCAGATTTTAATAATGAATTTAAGTAAAAATAAAATTCATGGCCGGCGTTATTTACATTTAATACATAAAAATATAAATACGACTTTTAAACAAAGTTAAAAACTTTGTGTCTGTCCTTCCTTTTCGCCGTTTTTCACCATCAGCAATCCTTTAAAAAAGGACAGACACAAAGTTTTTAACTTTGTTTAAAAGTCGTATTTATATTTTTATGTATTAAATGAATTTAAGTTAGAGAGAAATAAGAAGAAAAGATATAAAAATGTTCTAGGGAAGACCTACCTAGAAAGGCCTGAAATCTATTTGTACAGAACGGAAGAAGAGTGAAATATCCAGAGGTAGTAGTAAGATTATAGTAGAAAATCGTAAGCTCTCGCTCTCGAAACGTTTATTTTAATTATTTCATTGTATAATTTTGTTTATTCTGGCTTATTAAATGTTTGTTTTATTATTGTTAAGAAATATCTTTTCATATTTAAATCACCCCGAGAGATGCATTGCTGGATCATCTCAATACGCGTGTTAATCCACGTATCACAAAACTGATTAACTGGTGTCGGGAATCCTGACGTAAGGAAAACGTGATTACGCATCATCGGATTTCGCCTTAAATTGACATTCAAACTGTAAGTGTCTCCATAGTCGATTTCCTTGAATTAGGAAACCCATCCTTTTTAGACAAACAGAGGGCTATTCTAAAGAATAGTTGTTGATTAAGTGATACTAGAGTCTTACCACTCGGTATCTTTTCTCTAGCTCCTCACACTCTATATGGTTATTTCTTGTAACCGTGAACGAATCAAAAGACGAGATAAGGTTAATTTAAACATTTATTAGCTTACATACATTTGACTTGAATTTTTCACAAATTGCGAAATTATACCCCGTCTTACGCGAATTCAACTTACGCGGTTATCGCTCGGTCCCATCTAACTCGTAAGATCGGGGTATTAGTGTAATTGGTTAAGAAAATTATCTTTTCTGTTGTTAAACGAGTAGCCAATCAAGTTTTCAGAAAAGACAATGAGGAACACCAGAAGAATATTTTTATATCTTAAGCTAAATAATTCGACATGAATTTTTTTAATATCGATTTTAAATTTTATATCAAAGAAATGGTGATTTTTCTACATTTTCCCTTAATAAAATAATTTGATTTTGTTCTCGTATATTTCTCTTTATATAATACAGTGAGATCCTAAAATTACTGGACCAATCCCAATACTTTTAAGGGTGGTGACATCATGACATAGTTTAACCGTTTCTATGAGTGGTCTGCCTCTGACATCATCACTTCGTTCCCAGAAACTTTTCCCGTTTTTCCGCCCACTGTTGAAGGACTTTATGATCGCACTGCATAAGCAAAGATTGCTAACAAACTATTTTGTAAGAAATGTATCTAAATATATTAAGTTTGACCAATTACAGCAACTTTTCTTTATGAAATTGAACACATAAACACGTATTTATTTAAAATAGACATATTGTGAATTTATGAATTATGATTTTAATAAAAAGTAAGCCCAGAATATGCATTTATACAATTTTTTTTTTATTTTGCGTACGGTACATTTGATCATTTTATTTTGTAGTCGAATGGCGAATCACTTCGTCCGAAACAATTGCATTTATCGTTGACGCATGGTCCTCGTAATATACAACTACCTTTGCACTTCAAACAAATGGCTTTATCATCTAAGCAAGTAGCTGAATAAAACGATATAAAATTTAAATATAATTATAAAATTTCTGTATATTACATTTACAATATTTTATGAAATTTTTCGCACGTACAGTACTTCATGAAATGGAATGACTGATTACTTACCATTCATCACACATAAGACAAGAATTAAAAGGAATCCAAAGGTCTTCATATTTCACGAATTCTTCCTTCCTTTAAGTGAGAGAATAATGTAAGGCACATTACATATTGCTATAATCTAACTACGATTATTGTGTATCGTCAGTGATATTGCGTATTAAATTAATTATGTAATGTATTGAATGAGAAAGAAAGTCACTTAACATCCTTAACACTTAATTTAGTTACATTTTTAGTAATAACAAACATTCAATTTTCTAAATATTTTGTTGCTAATTTCTAAAGTTTCTACTAAGAAGAAAACCAAGACATGCAATAAAAATTATGTACTTACTGATTTTGTAATGCTGACAAATTCATAATATAAAAATTTTTGCATTAAGCAATATATACAGAAATTAAAACAGTAAAGTTTACTATTATTGGTTGGTTTTTAATTGTAAAATGTTTAATTACGTATCAGTTAACGAATAGGAAAGCTCCGCGTTAAAATAGATTTATTATCGGTTTATTATTTTGGCAGTGATATCTTTTACAAAGTTTAGTGCAGTATTAAGATTTTATTGATGATATTAGTAATAACTGTGCGATAAAAATTTTTATCACTTTTTTGTATTCATTTATTTGTATGAGTACTAAGCTTTCTTCAAAATATTTTGTAAAATAGGAATTTCTAACAGAGCCGATACAGACTCCTGGGGATGAGGGAAATTTCGAAAGGGTTGCATTTTCATATCAGGAACTTATTGTATTTTTCGAGAGTTTCAGATAATAATAATAATAATAATAACAATCAAGTGGGAAATTCATGAACAGATTTAATAATTTGCTTGATATATTACGCAAAACGTTTGAAAATAACAAATTTAAGGGGGTTAATAGAAAAGAATAGTTTACGTACCGGAGTCAATAGAAGAGAAAGATTGGAAACCCCTTTGATAAAATTACTACTACTAATCCTCGGTATTACAGCCCATGTATGGCCTTGGCCTCTCAGACAATCGCAGTCCAATCTTGACGATCTTCTGCATTTTTTCTCCAATCACCGACCCCCATTTTCCTCAAATGATTTTCCACGTCATTCAGCCATCGCTTCCGTGGTCTTCCTCTACATCTCCTGCCACCCAGATTTCCTCTATAAACTTCTTGGCAGTTTTATCATCTGACATTTGCCCAACTTTTTTCTTTTGTAACTCTTTATTTCTACAAATATATCAGTATAACCATACAGTTCTACCAATTCACTGTTTTTCCGCATCATCCATTGTCCTGCCTTACACACTGTTCCAAATATCTTAGAAATTTCCTCTCCCATCTTGTCTAGAGTTCCTCCACAGTCACAGTCATTGTCAATGTTTCCGAACTATACATCGCCACCGGTCTAGTAACTGTACGATAAACAGCCTCCTTTAATATTCTACACAGAATACGGGATTTAAGAAATCTAATCACGGCCCAGTAAGCTCTATTTCCCGCTGCAATCCTTGTTTTTATCTCTTCTTTTAAGTTGTTATTGCTAATTACCAGTACTCCCAGGTACTTGAATTTTTCACATCTCACATAATTGACACTAACTTAATGTATGTCTTCCCCGCAGCAACTTTCCTAGACAATAGCGCGTACTGCGTTTTACTGTGGTTCACACGATGTCCCAATTCGCCTCACTTTTCAATCTACCCAATCCTTCCTCAGCTCTCCGAGGCTATGGGACAGCATACCAACATCATCGAGATAAGCTAAATTTTGGCTAACACAGTTGAACAGATTGCCAATTGGTGAATTGCCCTCCACCCTTGACCTTAGCTAAAACCTTATACAAAGTAGACTACTAAGTAAAGATATTCCACGATAGGTTTTACATATTGCTCTGTCCCGTCTTATGAATCGGACTCACGACGGCCAGTCTCCACTGATCTGGCAGGTCTTCCTTTTCCCATACTTCCACTATCAACTGGTAAATAAGCAGTCTCAACAGTTCACCCCATACTTAATTATCTTTGTTTCAATATTATCGCTTCCTGATTCTCTATTATTCTTCAGGCCCGCAATTGTCAGTCTAACTTTTTCTATTGTTGGCGTGGATAATGGTATTACATTACAGCCAGCAATCAACCACTGTCGCTCATACTTAATTTCATCTTGTGCTGGTGTCTCTGCAATAGTGTTCAGCAGTTCACTAAAATATTCAGCCCACCGATCCAGGTTCTGTTTTTCTCCTTCTATAAGAATTCAATCTTTTCACTGCAAAACACAGCACGAAGCTGAAAACCTTTCTTCTGTTTCTGTATTCTTTTATAGAACTTGCTTACTTCTTGGTCATTGTGTTTTTCCTCCAATTCTGCAATCCATTTCTTCTCTGACTCCCTTTTCTTTCTTCTACAGACTCTGCCTGCCTCTTTTCTTTTATTCAGGAATTCTTTTGTGTTAATACTAGTTGCCTCATTTAATTAACATATTTTGGCCTCACATTATATCTTCTTGACAATATATTATTGGATTGACATTATATCTTCTTGGAATTTTCCTTTTTCTCCGGATCTGTAGATCGCAACACACTGTCTATAGTTAGCCTCCCTACAACTGTCAACCTCAAAAATATCAGAAGCATGCCTGCTGTCAATTACTACATGATCAATTTGATTGAATGTAGTACCGTGTGGTGAACACCAAGTAATTTTCCTTATATTCCTTCTCTGGAGCCTACTTCTCACCACTATTTCGTTTCCCATGGCAAAGTCAATAAGTTTTTTCCCATTGCCATTGGAAACGTCATGCAAACTTTTCTTTCCCACTCTTTCTCTAAAGGATCCTTTCCTGTTTTTAGCATTGAAGTCCAACAGCACAATTTTCACATCTTGCTTTGATATGCCGCCCAGTTTCTGCTCCAAACTACCATACAATGCATCTCTCACGTCATTTTCATCTCTTTCCGTAGGTGCATAAACACAAACAAAAGTGATGTTGAAGAAACGGGCCTTTATTCTCAAAGTACAGTACATATCCTCTCATTAACAGTTAACATAAAGTTAAAAACTGCTGCTTTATACTTGTTGCCGACAAGGAATCCTCTGTCACCAACTGCGTCACTGGCCCCTGCACGATACAGAATTGTGTAGTTACTACTTTTTAAAATACCATCACCCTTCTACCTAATCTCTTGTATAGCTGGAATCCCTATATTATATTTTTCCATCTCTTGTCTGAGTGCACGTAGAGCCCTTGTTTATTCAAAGTCCTTACATTCCATGTAGCCATATACATATAATTATTCCAGTTGCATTTCCCTTTTCTTCCCTTTTCCTTGGGGTCCATGAGTTTCATAACATATTAATTTTTCCATTATTGGGTCGTTAGCCCCTTGAACAGCCGTCAACCTGAAAGTCCTAAAGGGTTTTTATGCATTTAAATATTCTGCAATTTTCGAATCCTTGTTTGATGAAATTAGAAATTCGAATTTGTAAAATCCTGTTGTAAAATGACTTATGAAAATAGTCAGAAGTCGACAGTTTCTGTATGATGTCAATCTGTATTAATTCTACAGGTATTTTTGAAGTTCCTGAACAATTATAATATGTATATAAACGAGCCTAACTGCTGGATTGCCAAGAGGGTAAGGTAGAAACCTACCGCCGTGAGAATTCCAGTATCTAATTCAGACAGGTCGAAAACTCTACGATTATTTGGGGTTGTTTCATAGTTATACATCGTGTCCCATCCCATACTACCCAGTCGAATGAATTTTCATAAAAAACGACTCTTCTTATAGCCCAAATGAAGATAAGAGTTAAGAGAAATTTAAATGTAACCTTTGAAATAATCAAAATTATTTATATTTCTAATATATAAATTATAGAAAACGAGTTTATGAAGTTGAGTCATCGAAATCTGGAAGAAACAATAAATATTTTATGACCATCATCGATAACTATCAAGTAAACTGTCATAAAATAATATTTAAATAAGAGACTGTATATAATAAAAACGTAATAACAGGAAAGATTTATTTTTCTATCGATAACTTTAGACCAATGAAGTTTTAATGGATTTAGAGATGAGTAATACAAATAACAAATAGGTGCGTATTAAAAACGATAATATTTTATAAATGTGTAAAATTTATTAGGTTTTATTAATTTATGTGATTGCCAAGTAATGTAAGAATGGAAAACGTTTACAAGTCTTCGTACGGTATGACTGGCATAAGTATTTAATTATAAATAAATTTAAATATCTGTTCGAGAAAACTATGGTGATAAATTATTATATCAGTAAAAAAAAAATTCTAGTCTCTTCGGTTAAATATGAACAATCATAGTGAAATGCTCAGTGCCTCGTTCTTCCCCATTTCTCACGCAACTGGAATTTAAATTAACTTATTAAATTGTTACGAAAAAACAATATTACATCCTTAGTTTGATGAAAATCACAATATATAAATTTCATTATTATATATTATTTTTCGAAAAAATAAACACCCCCTTCTTTGAAAACTATTATTGTTTAAAGTATATTATGTTATTATGTATTTAATATTTAATTACAGTATAGCAGTTTTCCTTTTGATTGTTTATTGTTGACAATCATAAAACATTTATTTCTATATCCAGGCTTCGATGCTCGTAATAATTATTCACACCAATTTTGTAATTAATTAAAATATATAATATTATAATAAATTTTATTGCTTCACTTTATTAAACAAATATTTAGGCTATATTTTATTTTTCTGGCTGATAAAACTTTATATATAGTTATGGCGCGTTACATATGAAAGAAAAGCTTTGTGGTTATAAAATAATTATAAATACCGGAGTTGAAAATGGTGATACGGGTGCATGTTTCGCCGGTTATATCAAGGCCCCTGGTGTAGAGGTCATCTGTCATGTGAAGAGTCTTTTGTCTGATTCCGGTTGGTGAAGTCTGGGTTTAAAGCGCCGGTTTTACGGATAAATTTGGTAAGTCCGTTGTAGGTGACACTGTTGTTGATGAGGAGATCGGGCGTGCAGGGCCAGTTGAATCCTTCAATGAGGGCTTTGTGAATAAGTTGAGATTCTCTGTGTGTCATAGAGGTTGCATTCAAAGATGAAGTGCAGGGGATCCTCTATAGCGCCACTGTCACACTGACAGAAGGAGGTGTCTCTGTGTTGGAATCTATTGAGATATTGTCGAAAGTTCCCATGGCGATTAAATATATAGATATATATTAACTTTTGATGCAAATTGGAACTCGTGTTATTTTAATTCAAAAATTTACACCCGGAAGGTGTTAGATTGATGATCGGCAATACTCTATTATTGAAAGGAAAACTATGATGTACGGGGTAAAGCTACTATTAATTTGACTTGAAAAGCCTATATTTTAAATTTAAAAAATTAATAATATGATTAAAAATTGCAGCCTAGCATTATGACGATGTCACAATAAATAATTGCTCGTTTTATTTAATTAGTATAAAATATAAGAAAAGAAATGTGCTTCGCTCCTATTCTCTTTCCATTACCTGTTACCTGAAGTAGAAATATTCATTCAATTTAAATTCAAATATTGTAATATATTGCTTATAAAAACACATACATTTTGAAACTTACTACTCTGCACAATAACAGTCAGCTATAAACAAGTAGGGGTTGTTCAGATTGATGCCATAAAGATATCTTCGTTTTGTAGTATTTATAATTACAAATAAACTAAACTAATTAATTCAGAATTCTTACACAATTGTTTACTTACTGAATATAACACAAGTCACACACATTACAAGAATTAGTGTTATAATATGAAAAGCACGTAATCTTTCCATTTTCTATTTCACTGAAATCAGAAATGACGATTCGCTCTTAAATATAGAATTTAACATAATGTAGAAACTGTCGATTTTAGATAAATTTGGGTATTTTTAAGGCAAATATATTTTTAATTACAAAATGTTTAGAATTGATACAAACGGATAAGTACAAAAATATTTAATGATTATCACATAAGAGTATTGAAAATACTTCTTACTTTTAATTATAAGCTGAATCATTAATTCGGTTATTTCCAAGATGTTTAAATAATTAAATTTTAATATTGTTTATTTTACATAATAAATGTTATTGCCATTCAAATAATAAATCGATAATAAAAGTATCTTATCGTGGAGCTTTCTCATTCGTCAATTTATACGTAAGAAAAAAGTTTGTATTCGTACTAACCAATTAAATTTCAGTGTTTTGTTGCCTTTTGTGTATATATACTGCATGAAAATTGTTACATTATGAGAATTCACCAGTTTGTCTGCTGTATTCAATCAGTAAGTACATAATTTCTCACCTTTTAAAGTTTTTCATAAAAATACTTGATTACTCCTTTAATAATTTCTTATCTGTAGTGGCAAATATTAGTTTTTTTTTACTTCCTTTAGTGCAACAACAAAATTGTTTTTCCTCTTTCCTCTTCTTCTCATATTTTTGCTCGTCTGCACTAGCAGCTTTCGCTTCCTCATTTCCTTCTGCGCTTTGCTGGCTTCAGAGGATTCGGGCTCACAGTTTTCTATCTTTCTGGTTCGAGAGAGGAGATAATATTGTCAAATAATCGACAATCATTTCAAAAAGGGCCACTACTAATCACTGCCGGAATGGAAGCAAACTATTAGCAATGAAGTCGTTAGCTCTGACATGACCAACTATGAATCGCTCTAAACTCATCTTTATCTGTTAGAAGCGTTCATATTCCTGTCGAATTTTTGCAAGTAAACTTTAGATACTACCGAGCACAATTAACCAGATTTCTATAACCTAGACCGAACTTTAAAATTGGGCTTACACTGTGGAAATACGGCATGGTAATATATGAACTCCATGTTGTACGAGTCACTTAGATTTTACAAATACGTGTGCCGGGCTGTAAACGGCTCATGTATTTGTAAAATCTAAGTGACTCGTACAACATGGAATTCATATAAAACGGAATTATCAACAGTGTTATAGGGGGATCGACTGAATTAAGGTAATCTCGCGTTTGTGTACAGTTTGTGTGCGATTGATTTCATTTGTGGATGTGAAATGAAAATAATCCAACAAAAATTCTACCCTAACTACTATATAAATCGATCATTACGCTGTTTTGTATATCTGGTGATGAAATTACTCCTAGATTTCAAATATACGTTTTTCTAAATGACTAATTATTTTACTGTTTAATCTATATACACATTCGGCACAAAATATTTGAGTATTAATTTTTGTGTTTTAATTTACATTATTTAATTAAATTTAATTTGCACACCACACAGCGTAGAAAATACAACGACTACTGTTAGACGTGTAAGGTTCCTTCAAAGTAAACTAGAAGCACATCAGATTCACGAAATTTGAATAATTATCGTGTAAATAATATGTAGTAAATTAAAAATTTCGAACACCGTGTATTTATTATACATGATTTAACACTATAAATTATCTTCGCACTTGTAGAAACGAAGAATTTGTGAAAGATGAAAACCGTTGGATTTCTTTCGGTTCTGCTTGTCTTGAATGCGATGATTGGTAAGTAATTAGTCATCCCCTTTAACGATGTATGATACATTTCATAAAATACGTAAATTTTACAATTTTATGAAACTTTTTAACGTTTTCTTTCAGCAACTTTTTCAATGGTGGAAGCTCTATGTTTGTCTTGAAGAGGGGGAGATTATGACTGCAGGGTTAGTGGAACATGCGAAAATGGTAAATGTGTATGCGGCTCTGGTCGAAGTGATTTCTCACGCGACTACAAAAAATGATCAGAAAATAAGAATGGAAGTAATAAATGTACTTGGAATTAATAATTAAATATGTTTAAATGCATATGTTCGTGTTTGTTTTTTAAATAAGATTTAGGGGAGATCGGGGCAAGATCGGCATGTTAAGCTTTACTTAAATTTTGTGTAATAAATACTGCTGTAAACTGAAAAAAAAGCTTTGCATATTGTCTATTGGAATGTTACCTTACTATACATGTGGTTAAAATCAGTTTGGA